TTTAAGGTATGTGAGTATCTAATAATCTAATTGTATCTTCAAATAATATATTAATATATGGTATAAAATATTAAAAGTGGTAAAAAATGTAATTATTTGAAAGTAAAGATAATATTAGTATACTAGATATAGGTACCCGTGCCAGCATGGGGCCCAATATATATATTTTTTATTTTAATTTATGTCATATTATGGAATTTGAGAAGTTATTGAAATTTTTATATGATTTTAAAAATATTTTAAATTTTTAGCTATTGTGATTTGTAGTACTTCTTTTTAACATAATTTTGAAAATAATATTTATTACTCTGTTTGTTCTAATTTATGTGGCACACGCAAAATTTCAAATATTAACCCTTTTTTATATGTCTCTTTAATATATTAAGTTGTTAATTATTATATTTTATAGTACATTTTGAACCCAATTTTTTAATAATATATGTTATTTGCCATGTCCCAATTTATGTGGCATTAATTGATAGATTTGTTGGAGTCGAGAGATTTATTTTGTAAATATTGTAATTTATAGTTTTTTTTTTCCGTCAATTTCAAACAATAGATGTTGTTAATTGATAGAATACTTTTAATGTAATTTTAAAAAAAAAAATATGTGTGACTCTCCATGTCCCAATTTATGTGGCACATGTAAAGTTTTGACAATTAACCAAAATTTTAATACATTTAAAAAAATATTTTTAAGTCGTTAAATTTTAAGTCATTTAAATTGTTGTATTATTTATTACAATTTATAATATTTTTAAAGTAGTTGAAATATTGTACTATTTATTATGATTTATAACAGTTTTTTTTTTAATTTATGTCATATTATGGAATTTGAGAATTTATTGAAATTTTTATATGATTTTAAACATATTTTAAATTGTTAGCTATTGTGATTTGTAGTACTTTTTTTTAACATAATTTTGAAAATAATATTTATTACTCTATTTGTTCTAATTTATGTGGCAAATGCAAAATTTCAAATACTAACCATTTTTTATATGTCTCTTTAATATATTAAGTTGTTAATTATTGTATTTTATAGTACATTTTGAACCTAATTTTTTAATAATATATGTTATTTGCCATGTCCCAATTTATGTGACATTAATTGATAGATTTGTTGGAGTCGAGAGATTTATTTTGTTAATTATTGTAATTTATAATTTGTTTTTCGTCAATTTCATCGACTATTTATTTTATTAATTATTGTAATTTATTGTTTCTTTTTCGTCAATTTCAAACAATATATGTTTATCATATAATCCATTTTATGTGGTACCAATAGAATTTAGAGAGTCAATGAAATTTGGTATATAAGTTTTAAATAATTAAGCTGTTAATTATTGTAATGTATAGTATTACTTATATTATTTTTAAATATATTTAAATATTATATGTTAGGTTTTTTATCCTAATTTATATGGCATTGATAGAATTGAAAGTGTCAAATAATTGTTAATTATTGTAATAGATAATATGGAGTATTTAAATCATTTATAGTATAGTAATTAATATATAATATGTAGTATTTAAGTGTTATATTATGGAATTTGAGAAGTTATTGAAATTTTTATATGATTTTAAAAATATTTTAAATTGTTAGCTATTGTGATTTGTAGTACTTTTTTTTTTTACATAATTTTGAAAATAATATTTATTACTCTGTTTGTTCTAATTTATGTGGCACAGGCAGAATTTCAAATATTAACCATTTTTTATATGTCTCTTTAATATATTAAGTTGTTAATTATTGTATTTTATAGTACATTTTGAACCTAATTTATTTAATAATATATGTTATTTGCCATGTCCCAATTTATGTGGCATTAATTGATAGATTTGTTGGAGTCGAGAGATTTATTTTGTTAATTATTGTAATTTATAGTTTTTTTTCGTCAATTTCAAACAATATATGTTGTTAATTGATAGAATACTTTTAATGTAATTTTTTTTAAAAAATATGTGTGACTGTCCATGTCCCAATTTATGTGGCACATGTAAAGTTTTGACAATTAACCAAAATTTTAATATATTTAAAAAAATATTTTTAAGTCGTTAAATTTTAAGTAATTTAAATTGTTGTATTATTTATTACAATTTATAATGCTTTTAAAGTAGTTTAAATATTGTACTATTTATTATGATTTATAACACATTTTTTTAAATTTATGTCATATTATGGAATTTGAGAAGTTATTGAAATTTTTATATGATTTTAAAAATATTTTAAATTGTTAGCTATTGTGATTTGTAGTACTTTTTTTAACATAATTTTGAAAATAATATTTATTACTCTCTTTGTTTTAATTTATGTGGCAGATGCAAAATTTCAAATATTAACCCTCTTTTATATGTCTCTTTAATATATTAAGTTGTTGATTATTGTAATTTTTAGTACATTTTAAACCTAATTTTTTAATAATATATGTTATTTGCCATGTCCCAATTTATGTGACATTAATTGATAGATTTGTTGGAGTCGAGAGATTTATTTTGTTAATTATTGTAATTTATAGTTTCTTTTTCGTCAATTTCAAACAGTATATGTTGTTAATTGATAGATTTTTTGGAGTGGACTATTTTTTTTATTAATTATTGTAATTTATTGTTTCTTTTTCGTCAATTTCAAACAATATATGTTTATTATATAATCCATTTTATGTGGTACCAATAGAATTTAGAGAGTCAATTAAATTTTTTATATAAGTTTTAAATAATTAAGCTGTTAATTATTGTAATGTATAGTATTACTTATATTATTTTTAAATATATTTAAATATTATATCTTAGGTTTTTTATCCTAATTTATATGGCATTGATAGAATTTAAAGTGTCAAATAATTGTTAATTATTGTAATAGATAATATGGAGTATTTAAGTCATTTATAGTATAGTAATTAATATATAATATGTAGTATTTAAGTGGAAGGTGGTGAGGCCCACTTATATAGTTTGATAAATATATTGGATATTAGTAGTGATTTATAGTATAGTAATTAATAATATATAATATGTAGTATTTAAGTGGAAGGTGGTGGGGCCTACTTATATATTTTATAAATATATTGGACATTAGTAGTGATCTTATTGACACAATGGTAGTCATTCCTAGAGTCTTCTATAATATAGTAATATAGTAGCGATGTATGTATAATAAAGTAGTTTATCCTATTTTTTAGTACAATATTAATTTTGTCCACAATTCTATATATGGAATGTGCAATTGTCTTTTTATATATTTAGTAGAAATAATAATTTTATGTGAGATAAAGTGTAAAAGAAAACACCTTATTCTGTTAAGCAGAAATATTATTGCAACTAAGAATATCTTGACATATGACGAAGTCGAAAATTTATACTATTGCACGTGAAATTGGCGTGATGAACCTCTCGATTTTAGTTGCAATAATATTTTTACTAGATAAAATAAGGTATTCTTCTACTCACCTTCTCTCAAATGGAGTTATTATTTATACGAAATATATAAAAAGACGATTGAACATTTTTATACATAAATTGTAGATAAAATTAATGTTAAAAAATATGATAAAGTTTGGAGGAAGACCAAAGGTGCACCAATATTGCAAACACGAGAAACTATTAGTGCTACATTTGAGCTTTTTCCTATTATACACGTGCTATAATTTTATTAATTTTTTTTAAGATTGAGATATGTGAATTTGTATAATTAAGATATTGTATATAAATCTAAACATGCAATTATTAATAATATTAATATTTTTTAGCATATGAATATGTGTAATTTATCTTTCTTTAAAATTTAATAGATAAAATATGAATTAAATATATACCCACCTATTTTAGAAAAAATATTAATCCCAAACAAGTCTTTCCTTTAGTTGCTATTATCAATCACGGAAAAAACGTCACAAAAAGAAGGAACATGAGACTCAATACTGATCAACCTCAATATTTTTTACAAACGATACATTATGTTGAAATAACTCAGGATCCTTTTATCCTTACCGGGTCATCTTATATCTGAATTTTTAAATATGAAAATAAATCATATATATATATATATATAAAAGAGAATCCTAGGCCCGCCTACGTAGCGCCATCACAAACCAGGATTCCCTTTTAATTTATTTATTTTCAAAACTAGCCTTCCCTTTCATGAAAAGTTGTGACTTTTATGAAAAGTTGTAAGTTTTATGAAAAATTGTGACTTTTATGAAAAGTTGCGACTTCAATGAAGAGTTGCGACTTTTATGAAAGGTTGTGACATTTCCAAAGAGATGCAACTTTTCCAAATAGTTGTGACCTTTCCGATAAGCACAACAAACATTTGTTCACACTACCCTTTGTTGTCTATAAATAAAAGAATTTCCTCTCATTTAAAACAAACTTCTTATTCCTCTTTTTCTTCTTCTTTTGCACAATTAAATATTCGTGTACTTTGCTCCTGTTGAGTTGCTCTCTAACACCATTGCTTGTGTTACAGATTCTGATATTTTTTTACAGTCATAATTTTTTGCTTATGTTATTAAGGATAAATGATAAGATGTTATAATTTTTATTTTTCTTTTCATTATTAATGTTTGTTACTACATAATCTTGTACGTAAACTAATAGTGTTTTAGTTTTGATGACTTAGGTTTTAAGTATTATTTTTATAAATTTTGTGATATTAAATTCCAATTTTACTAGTTAAGTAAAAAAGATCACCCTTAAAAATAGGCTCTATAATACATGAATTAGAATTCAATAGAATTTTGATACAGAAAGAATTTAAATATTTTTTAAATGAATTTTACAATTTTATGAAAGATATAAAAAGTGAAAACAAAAGGATATACTTTTCTTGAGAGAATATTCAATTCGTAAAAGCAGTGGACTCGTGGGCCTTTTCGGGGCAGGAAATAATCTCATATTAGAAGATGAAATTTTGACCCGTCCGATACTTTCAACCCGGATTAAGACATTGAATAATTGATGGCGATGGCAGCCAATACAAAAGAGGACAAGCTTCGGTTTCTCAGTTCCCATTTCTTCATCTTCTCAGTTCCATTGCTTCATCTTCTCAGTTCAATAATCAATTGGTGAAGTTGGATTTATAGCATTATCAGGTGATTGTTTCGCTCATTTTATTGATTGGTGATGCAAATTAATTATATGTTTCAAGAGCTGCTCGTATGTAGAATTTTGTTATTTTAATATGAACTACTACTTCTCTTCGTCTTCATCTTCTCTTGTTTGTTTGAGGCTCTATTTTCTCATGTTTCAGCCTTCACAGGCTCTATTTTCTCATGTTTTCCTTTCGTTTGGGATCAGGAAGATAGGAATATGTTAAATATTTGTTTGTTATCTCCCTGCTTTTTTTTTTTTAGGATAGAAGGATGAAAACTCTGTGAGGCTTTCAGAAAGCAAACACTCAACCACATAGACAGTAAACGTATTTCATTATCAGAATGATAGGAACTTCCAACTGATCATAGTCAACAGGACCTTAGCCCTCTATGGAAGAGCTAAAAGTCTGGTTTCTCCTTTCAAATATGAGAGCGAAAAATTAATACAATTATACAGTTTTGATGACCAGGAAACTTAAAATGAAATCCAAGTAATAGTAGTTTTAGTTCTGTGTTAATCCATATTAATCGGATATTGTATATTGATTTATGGTTTACATTTGACTTCAAGATTAAATTCATGTATTTGGATTAATTACTGTGCAAGTATATCTCATATTCACATAATGTGAACATAGGTATCTGTTTCTGTGTGGTAGATAATTGCTTTCCATGTCTGTTGAGCGAACTTTGAAGAAGCTAGTTTCTGGTGTCATCCTTGATTTGGATGGTACACTTCTTAATACAGGTCAGTAGTTATCTTCTTGTTTGACTTTACACTTCTCGAATTATTTTCTTGGCCGTTCACCTAAATCATTCATGGTATTAGTTCTCGATATATGAACTACTACTTTTAATATTCAAAAGCATTCGCTAGAGTTCCTTTCATTTCCTTCCAATTTTTACATATCCAATAGAACTATGAAATGACCAGAATTTTTTGAAATTTTGGATGAAGATATTTACAATTTAATTTTTTTACTGTTGTAATCTTTATTCTAAGTGTAGATTGTATCATTGCAGTATAATTGTTTTATCCTATCGAATTTCTCTAATCAAATTCTATCTTCTGAGGACATACTTAATATGAGGTCTCTGTAAGCTTAGTGGGCCTGCAGCTATTTTGAAATTCGATTCCGAAACTTGAAATGTACTCTGGCTCTCAAGTCTCAAGTATGAACGATTTACAACTATGAAGTCCTTTTTGTGCAAAAGAAATTTGGACCTAGGCATTCTGTTGTAGAGTTAACTGCAACATAGTATCAATCCTTATATTACCAATGTCTTCCTTGTGTGCATTTGCGTTTCTTTATAGTCTCAGGTTTCCAATGTTAATTTGATCTCTTCGTTCTGACAGATGGCACTGTGAGTGAAATTTTAAAGGTTTTCTTAGTTAAGTATGGAAAGCAATGGGATGGGAGAGAAGCTCCCCACATAGTAGGGAAAACCCCAACAGAAGCTGCGGCTGCTGTTGTTGAAGATTATGGGCTGCCACTGTCAACAGATGAATTTCTTTCGCAATTTTACCCAATGCTGTCTGACCAGTAATAAACCAGCAAACATAGTTTCATTTCCTTTCTGTTTATTGATTAAGCTTATACAAACTGAAATTGAATAGCCTGTTGGAAGATTATTCGCCTTAAAATATTAGTAGGCAGACTCTTTTCCTCACATCCTATTAATGGATGTTGAAGGATAAAGTTACAAAGTAAAAACCTTCTGCTCTTTTATAGCTAGAGCATGGATGATAAATTGCAAGCTAGTTAGTAGAGAAAAGAGTAGTGGAGAACATAGTCCTGCAGTGTTGGTTTTGCTCAAAACCCTTACTAAAAAGTACGTAGGTACTGGATGGTAATTAAGATTGTGGAGAATTACTAAAAGGGGAACCACTCATTTTGTTCTCCAATTTAGAAAATGCAAATATGCATGTTACTTTCTTTCATTTATCTTCTTTGCTTTTGGTGATAAAAATAAATCACCAATAAAGAACAAAGAAAAAAAGAGGCAAGCAAGAATGGAACAACTACATTAACTTATCAAAAAGAGATAACTACATTTTGTTTATTAGTTGAAAACTTGTTTTTTAAAATTTAAATGGAGTGAAATTTCCCCTTTTTCTTTTGTTCTTCTGTTTCATTTTGGGGTAGGGGGAGAGGAGGGGAAGGTGTAGAAGCTCTGGAAGGAATAAGAGTGATATACTCATCTATGGCCTTGTTGGTTTAAGGAAGATGATTTCATTCAATCTTGCTGAGAGTGGAAGCAATGTTGGAAACACCTTTTTCTTTTCTTTGAGCTAGTAAAACTCTGATTATCTTTTGACTGTTGCGAGATCTTGTGATGTACAATTATGTAACTTGTATATCTATTGTCTTCTGCATATACATTCCAGTTCAAATTTCTTATAAAATTTTGTTAATCAATTTGGTATAGGTGGCGCAAAATCAAAGCTGTTCCAGGGGCCAATCGATTGATTAACCATTTGAGGGGTCATGGTGTACCCATGGCATTGGCGTCAAATTCTTCTAGATCTAACATAGAGGCCAAAATTTTTCATCATGCAGGTAGAGTTCTAACATGTATTGCTAGAGAGGTATTTCTTTCCTTAGGAAGGTATTTTGTGCCAGTCCAGCACGTAAGATGGCATTTATGCTTGGTGCTTTGATTGGGATAGTCTTTTTTGTTTTCAGGATGGAAAGAATCCTTCTCAGCTATTGTTGGAGGAGACGAAGTGAAAGCTGGAAAGCCATCTCCGGAAATGTAAAACTTGATGAATTGATTATCTTTGTCCTCCACATTTCATAATCTGGTATTCTGGAGATTAAATTAACTGAATATCTTCTTTTGTAAGATTTCTTGAAGCAGCTAAAAGACTCAACATGGATCCATCCAGCTTTCTTGTCATTGAAGATTCAATGTGAGTTTTTATCTTCAAAACTTATGTAGCGGTATGTAGGAAAATCTAACTACTGGTCAAAAGAAGAAAGAAAAAAAGAAATGTGCCTGTTGGCTGGGTTTTCTCCTCTAAAGACCTTGAGGGGTCTGTTAGAGTTTGTCATGCTCAGCTCAAATTTACACATGTTAGGTTGGATAAGCAGCATGGTTGACTGAATAACATTAGCTACTAACTTGTGACATCATAATTTACAATTTCTCGATTTATTTTCTTTTTCATGGATAATGAGTTAAAATTCCTTGTCATTGCTTTTGCATTTTCTAGGCTGAATATGAACTTTTTTTCTCTCCCAAGACCACATTAGTTTTGAATTGGATGTAAATTGTTTTATCTCATAACTTAGTGAGAGTAACTCGACCAGATACATATGTTAGACCAGGTGTTACTGCTGGTAAGGCTGCTGGAATGGCAGTAGTTGCTGTACCATCTCTTGCAAAGCAGTCTCATCTTTATACTTCTGCTGATGAAGTGATCAATTCTCTTCTAGATTTGCAACTAGAAAAGTGGGGACTACCTGCATTTCAAGACAGTAAGTCTTTATGACTGCTTTACTTGTATGACGTGTAGTCGTGTACTTGATTTTTCTTCCAATTTTTGACTGGAAGCATATGCAGGGATAGAAGGTACTTTGCCTTTAGAACCTTGGTGTATTGGTGGTCCTGTCATTAAGGGATTTGGGCGCGGCTCAAAGGTTCTCGGGATCCCCACAGGTATGCGGTCTTCTTTATTCCTTCTGCTGAATGGCCAATATAAATGCTTGACTCGTTATCTGTGTTCACTTGAAATGACTGTTAGAATTTCTCAGAAGTTTGTTATTGGAATTTCAGTTTCTTGTGAGCCTGTCATTTCAGAGATATTGATTTTTATGTCAAATTGTTATTTGGATTCGAACTCCAATTGTTGGAGGGGCATGGAAGATTAGTATCTTGCCTCGTATGACTCAACAGTGATGTGTTTTTCTATTCTTATGGGGTCAATATTCTTTTCAGCTAATTTATCCCCAGAAGGTTATTCAGCCATTCTTTCAGAACATCCAGCGGGTGTATATTTTGGATGGGCAGGACTATCAGGTCGAGGTGTCTACAAGATGGTCATGAGCATTGGTTGGAATCCTTTCTTCAATAACGCAGAAAAGACTATTGTAAGTGTGTCGTGACATATGTTTCTTCCGTATTCTTGACTTTTTTGTGTTTGTTGAAAGACAACTTTACTTTTAGGAACCATGGTTGCTTCATGACTTCAATGAGGACTTTTATGGTGAGGAATTGCATCTAGTTGTTGTGGGCTACATACGGCCGGAGGTATTGTTGCCTAGTTACTCTTATTTTTCCCTTTCCTTTCTTATATCACTTGCTGATATTACTGTCTATTTGCAATATTGCAGGCCACCTTTTCGTCACTTGAAGCCTTGATAGCAAAAATTCATGAGGACAGGAAGATTGCAGAAAGAGCTCTCGAACTTCCTCAATACTTGAAGTACAAGGACGATCCATACCTTAAAAGTTCTTTGCATCAGGAAAATTGATCATTGAAGTCTTGAAGTTCATTGTTGTTCTGATTGGGATTGTATCTGTCCTAATTCCTCAGACTACAATAGTCTCCCCATCAAATTGCATGGAATGCTTTATACAATAAACAGATAAAAAAATTGAATGTATAGCTATTCAGAAGTAAAAGAACCAAGTGATGGTTATAAAGTGGGCTAAGCATTTCTAGGGGGTATTAGTCAATGGTAAAGGGTTCAAGTGCAGGATCCTTGTACTGAGAATTTCAAGTTAAGGTGTCAATAAAGTGTTGGCCCTTTGGTCAATTGTTTTAAATACAAAATATGGACCTATTTATGTGAATTTTCTGCCTTTTGACGAAATATTTATGGTTGAGAAGTATCATTTGTCAGTGTAAATGTTGATTAATGTAACTTGTTTTCTGGCTGTGAATAATGTGGAAGCATGCAAGCTGATGCAGATTGTAAATTGCTTCCTTTTATGCATCCATGACATTTCCTGTGATCTTTCAATTCAGTCAAGGTCTGTTTATGCTTATTTGGTTACACTATGGTTCTTTGCCTTGTTGTTTTTTAGTTAATATGGAGCCTTGTTAAGTCTTTGGGGTATCTTGATTTATGCATGATTCATTTTGTATAACTTTTTTACTCATTGTGTTTGATGTTTGTTGAAAAAGATGAGTTTTTTAAGGCGGGTTTATGCTTGTTTGGTTATATTATGGTTCTTGCCTTATTGTTTTGGTATGGTTCTTGATTTTTAGTTCATATGGAGCCTTAGTAAGTCTTTGGGATGTCTTGGTCTTATGTTTGGTTCATGTTGTAGAACTTTTACTCATTGTTTTTTGATGTTTGGTGAAAACATGGGTTTATGCTTATTTGGTTATATCATGGTTCTTCGCCTTATCAAGTTTGGTTTAAAAAAATCACTCTTTGTCCTGTTCAAGTCTGATGATGTTTTCTTTGTAGAACTTTTAACTCATTGGCTTTTTTTATGTTTGGTGGAAAATATTGTTCTTTGTTCTGTTCAAAGTGAGATGATGCTTTGGCCTTCTTATTAGTTTGATACTGTTTGTTATTAGTGGTGTTTCTCTTTCTTGTATGTATGAAGTGTATTTCTCTAATTTGTGTAATTGAGTTAAACGAGTTTGATGATTGTTCTGTTTTGAAATAAAGATACTTGAAAGTTGCTCTCACTTGTTATTTGCTTCAGAAACTTAATTGGCTACTACTGGTGAATGATTAGCTAGTTGGCAGGGGTAAAGCCACAATGCAGCGTACGGGTCGGCATAACCGACTCTGTTGAAAAATTCACTCACTATGTATAAATAATTTATCCAGAACCTAGTGAATAATACTTTTTTAAAATCAGCCACTCATAAACTCAAAATCATAGCTCTGTCTCCGTGAAGATGGTTGTGAACCTAAGATATAATATTGGCAAAGACCGAAGGGAAAGGGGAGCTTATAGATTTTTTTCCAGTTTTTTTATTTTTTTATTTGTTCCTTTAGATCGATAAATTGACCGTAATAATTTCTTGCTATAGAGAACAAAGAAATTATTTCTTCAATTCGACCTTAAATATTTTTCTTAATATAAATGTTCGTTTATCATTTCTTTTATTTAGGGGAACAAATCTAATATGGAATATCTGTTTAATCTTTATACCTAGCTGAGGTAAAGTTGTAAAATAGTTACCAACCTTTTTGGTCCTTGCAAATTTGCAATTGAGACATCTCAAGGGAATCTCATTGATTTTCACTTTGACCCTTGCAAACACCACATGCTCAAAAGATTCATAAAATAAGTGAACATTATGAGATAAGAATTTTAAATTTTAGTAGAAATAGAAATGCTATTTAAATTTTGACTCGATATTTCTATTTAAATAATATTAAAATAGTTGAAAAATAAAATGAATTAATAAGTTATTTGATAACTATACTGATAAGAAATAACAAGTATTAGTAAAATAATTGAAAAATGAATAGATAATAATAAGGTATTTAATAATTATACTAGTGAGAAATAATAGTTAGTGAGAAATAATAGATATAACATGTACTTAAAATTTTGACCATTTTGATTTTTGGCAAAGCTAAACCCCAAAAACCCCCAACACTTAGTTTTTGGCGCTAGCACTGTTCACAGTGAATCAATGGAGGAAGAAGCTTCAGAGCAGCAGTTTATTAGAGAATCCATGGATGAAGATGCTGTAGAGCTGTTGGAAACCCCAATTGAAGCTGTAGAGGAGAAACCGTCGGAAGAACCTTACCCTTTGCCGGTTATTCAGTATGATGTTCCGCCGTATCTAACCTATCATTTCTTTAATCAGTTCAGGACGCCTTCAAACCCTAACAATTTTTTAAAGGGTGTCAAATGGTAAGCTTTTTGTTTCTCCATTTCTTATGCCCTGTTTTCTCTGTTTTTTTTCCCTATGTAGTCTCATGGCTATATTTTTGGTGGAATTATAGGTCTCCTGATGGTTCTGGCTTCCTTACTTGCTCTGATGATAATACCTTTTGTTTATATAACTTGTAAGTTTCGTCTCAGTTTCTGATGAAAAATGATAATTTCTTTCTAGGAGCAAATTAGAAATATATGAATTTTAAGTCTCAAATAACTGTTAAGCTTATATCAGTAACTTTCTTGTAAATTTTTGGGTGATTGGATCTGCGGGGATTAAAATTTATTGACAGATAGAGTTTCATTTAACTCTTCCTGAGTGAGCTTAGCTTTCTGGTCAAAGCCTGGATATAGGGAGAAAGGCTGTGGTAGGTTGATAACTAGCACTAAAAATAGTATGATATGAATCATCTGAACATAGAGGGGAATGGATATAGATAATTCATATCGACGGACCCAAGGAGTTTGTGATTGAGATACATTAATTGATTGACCAGATAGTATTTGCTGGGCTGACTATGAGGCACAATGCACATAGTAGAAAATGGTAGTTATTCTTGCATTTCCATTGTCCTTGAGTTGCTTTGTTAATTTGGCTCTGGTTCATTGATAGGCCATATGATGAAAGTGGACAGCTTGCTGATTTTTCCTCATCAGCTGCTGATACAGGTAATATATGCTACTAGTTTATATAGGTTTGAATGTGAAGCAACATTGTGGAAGTATGCTATAGTAATTGCTTTCAGTGTGGGAACTTGTCGATCATGTGTGTTCAGTATTGAGCTTGATATGATTTTCTTTCTCATGTTTTTGTTTATTTTGATTAACACTGTTTATTTGCAGATTCGTATGCTGCAAGTCTTGTCATGAGTGACGGGGAGTCTGTATATGACTACTGCTGGTATCCCTATATGAGTTCTTCAAGTATGTCACTCGTCTTGTTATTTGTGGTAATGTTGATGGTGATTAGAAAAAAATAACTAGAGTTTGCTTCAATGCCTCAGGTCCAGAGACATGTGTTTTTGCAAGTACTACCCGTGATCACCCTATTCATCTCTGGGATGCTACTACTGGACAGGTGTGTCATTGTCTTTAAAGCTGTTGCTAAAGATGCTTTTTCCTCTCACTGCTCTTTGATAGGTGGCTAGCAGCCCATGACATGTGTCACTGCTCAACAAGCTTTGCTTGGAAGATATTCTTCCCTACATTATCTTTTCTTGGGTGATTGCAGTTACGCTGTACATACCGTGCTTATGATGCCATGGACGAGATCACTGCTGCCTTTTCAATTGCCTTCAATCCCGCAGGGACTAAGTAAACATTCTTCTTTATCAAAGTGCTTGTCTCCTTCCTTGCTCTTGTGGTCACTGTTCATGTAGAGGCACCTGTTTCATTTTTCTTTAATATTTATTTGTAGTTCTTTAAAGAGAGGAAAAAATGAGTTCTTTTGATTTATTGAAAAAGTAATCTATCCATATTTTCTGGCAGTGTGATTAGATTGACAGTAATGAGGTCTAGTTGTTAATTTAGGTGGTCGCTAATTTTGACACTCTGTCCTCACAAAAGAACATTTCCCCTTTTTGTTCTTTCATTATATTTTTTAGACTTAAGACTTCTGCATTTTCAGTTTTTCTTGTAGTAACTTCTTACTTCATATGCACTATAATACTAACTTCTTATGTGTTATTCTGATTTGCTTTATTTTCTTTATTTATGTACTTACAGCTGTTAATATGCTAAGTTTATAAGAAAGTTTTCATTGTTACTTCATTCTTCTCGAATTAGGATATTTGCTGGTTACAACAAATCCATAAGAATATTTGATATTCATCGGCCTGGCAGAGACTTTACCCAGCACTCCACCCTTCAAGGAAATAAAGAAGGGCAATCAGGTATGTTCAGCTAGCTGCTTTTCTTTATGATCACCTTTTTAGCATTTGACTTTATAAATAAGACAATTAGCTAACAATATCTGTGTCAAACACATCAACCTGATAGTTATCTCAAAGAGAAACTATTAAGTCCTGTTGAGGCTAATTAATTCTCCCACCTTCGATGCCTACATTATTCTTCATTATACATTTATTATTCTGGCACCTTTTCTCTAATCTGTTTAGGCATTATTCCTCATTTATTATTCCAACACTTTTTCTCTTATCTGTTTAGGCATTATATCCTCAATGGCTTTCTGTCCAAGCCATTCAGGGTTACTGGCAACAGGCTCCTATAGCCAAACTACTGCCATACATAGGGAAGATAACATGGAACTTCTCTATGTCTTGCATGGTCAAGAAGGTGGGGTCACACATGTAAGTTGGCAGAGCTATCATTCATATTTTTTTTACTATACTGTACTCAGATACTGAAATGATTCATCAACCATAACATTCACTTACTAGGTCCAATTCTCAAAAGACGGAAACTACTTGTACACTGGTGGCCGGAAGGTTAGAACGATGATACATTTCTGTTCATTACTTTCAATGCCTATTTATCATTGAATTGTACTGTTGTTTGGCCCTTCCTTTGCAAAGAGAATGCTGGATCCATAATTTCATCATATCCGTCACAGATAATGGAAAAATGCACTTGCCACCTTAAACAGTTTCTGATTTTCTAATCTCTAGCAGATAAGAAACCAGAATGGATAGACAGTCAAAACAAGGGAACACAGAACATTATCCATTTGAGTCGATTTCATTTTCCTGTGCAAGCTTTTAATTCTGAGTTTTGTTATTTGGTTGGGACAGTGGAACCCAGGATCTGTTTCAGTGCTAAGCAATTAACTAAAATAGTTTAGAAATATCTTTGGCTTAACAAAGTAATACATAAATCACTGTATCTTCCTTAATTCTTCGAGCAAGTCATTTAGGTTGAAAAAACTCCACATAATATGAACGATTCTTAACTTGAAAAAGACAATCAAGAAAATCTCAAGGTCCGATTATTGATCAATGATTTTACAAAATTATTGAAGTTCAATTACCTTTTTCAACTATGCCCTCGTAAAAGTTGAATATAACAACCTCATTTTTTTTTTTTTGCAAATTATTACTAAACAGAGAAATGCTTTCCGCACGATCAACATTAATGGAAGAAAATGAGTTTGATTATTTATCAATATTTAATGGTAACCATATTTCAGACTTGGATACTTCCTGCTTATTAATGATCCTAGCACCTTCTCTTCTTATCTCTTCTTTTAGCTTTGTTTGTCCTTAAATTTTTCTCCTATTCTGTTAAGAGTTTAGATGAGGTGAGATCTGGAAAGCAGTTTATGAGTTATGACTTTAGTGTTACTGTAGAATTAGTGCCAAAAGATGTTAATGGGGAGAATGCAGAACAAAGTTGGCGAGTGTTTGATGTTCAGTTTTTTTTCTCCCATTCCTCCAAACCCACTACACTCTCCTTATAGGATACCTATAAAATGAACTCTGAACAGCCTTGACTCCAGGCGAATGTATAATTGACCACTTGGCCCCATAAAGAGGTCAAAAAATTCACTTTAACATCTAACAACTCGAAAACCCCAAGTATCAATCTTTTCAACTTCTACCTTAACATTTTAGTGTATAGTTTGTAGACTTGAGTAATAATTTTAAAACAAGATCTGTTTTCATATCCTTCATTCAAAGAAATATAAACTTTGTGCCTGTTCCTCTGAAAGGCATGCTTGCTACTTGTTGATTTCCTTCACTTATCTATTTATGATCTAAAATTTGACCCTTTCTTCTTCGGACTCAATTCTTGTCTATCGTCATGTGTATGCTAATATCCTGTCATGCATGCATGTTGTGTTAAACATATGTTTGACCAAGTTCATCTCAAACTTCTTTTAGGACCCTTACATACTGTGCTGGGACATTCGGAAGACTGCTGAAATTGTTTACAAGTAAGTTTTTTTCTACTGATTGGACACTCAGGGAACTGGAACATTGGAATGATTGGCTTGATAGCTCTGTTTCTGTTCAGTAAAGAAGCTAATTAGATGCATCCCTCTTCCAAAATAATTGCATTTTACAAGTCGGAGACGTCTCACACTCCTGCTAGAAATGTGATAATTCTTTAGCAGTTCCTTTGTTCTATAAAATAAAACTATATATGTTCATATGATGTTTTTTCCTGGAGGGGAACTTTCATAACTGAAGTTGTCTATATTCACTGTTTTTCGAATTATCCATGTCGAGAATATCAATTTGCATGAATGAAGTAATTTACCATGCACAACGATAACTTTTGTAAGTTTGAATATATTGTGACCTAGTGCTTCAGTGATAACCTAAAGTTCCCTTTTTGACTTCATTTAATTAGGATGTACAGATCATCAGAAACTACCAATCAGCGGATATATTTTGATATTGAACCTCGAGGTCAGCATCTCGGCTCTGGAGGACAGGTAATCTTCTGCTTAGCTCAAAATTACATTCTGTGTCAGAATGAAATTCAAGATCTCATCTTCCGTTCTTGTTTGTCTATGTAGGATGGATCAGTTCACATTTATAATCTTCAAACCGGACAGTGGGTATCCAGCTTCCGAGCTGCATCAGGTACTTCGTTGTGTTCATTGAAAGAATAAGTTGGGAGAAGGTCCACCTAGTTTCTTCTATTTCTTACTCAGCGTATCCTGTTTCAGACACGGTTAATGGCTTTTCATTTCATCCTTTCCTGCCGATGGCTGCCTCTTCATCAGGCCACCGGAGATTTGGAGTTATAGAGGACTCCCACGAGGATATGCTCCTAACAGGTAAATTCATTAACCCCACATTGTTGGAATTTTTCCCGAGTATTGTGTGTGAAAACTTCTGTATTCATCTGTTCATTACATGTCTTCTCCTTCTATGCTTTGTTATGTCGATTCCTCTTCCCCATTTGCCTTTTTAGGAAAACAAATTTCTTGCCATACTTCTTAGTCCTATTTGCTTCCCTTCCCTGACACTAAAATGCTCAAATCATCTGCTCTGTCAAGTCAATGACCACATTTTTTCTACGAAATGACCTGTTAACATAAAAAGTTCTTAATATGATTGTGTTGTCCTTGTTTAGGTGATGAAAATTGTGTTTCCGTGTGGAGCTTCGCCTATTCAGCATTCGTAGAAAATGATGGCAGTCCCATTTCTGGGGGCTCAAATGGTAAATCTGAGCTTGATGAGGACCTTCACCTCCGTCAAGAACCTTGATCCATGTACCGACTGTGTATAAACTTATCGTTGCATCGGCTAACATCACCTCCATTCAGGGCCGTCTTAACCCCTAGGCCACTAAAGCCATCGCTTGGGGCTCCATATATTTTGAGGCCCCCATTTTTGAAAAAACAATTACTTATAAATGTTTTTTTTTTTTAAAATAAATTATATGTACTATGAGTGTTATGATTTCTGCTAAGAAAATTGCACATAAGATGAAAATAAACCTGAATTTCGTAAGAAACAATTTGATGAAAATATAGATAGTGAAATCACTAAGTCCCTTGAAGAATCTTTTAGAGTTTATTGTTTTATATATGTAGGGTAGATCAAACTATTTTTTCACTTCAACATAGATTTGAACCAATTGAAACATATGGAAATATTTTTGATTTCTTATTTAGTTGTAAAATATTGAGATCATTAGATGATGAGAATTTTAAAAATATTGTCTTATCTTTCTTTAACATGTAATAGATGGTTTAGATTTATTTTTTGAATTAGAAGTGTTATGAGAAATAATACAAGTAGAAGATTATAATGATCTAATGAAGATATTCAATCAAATAAAAAGACTTGATACTTTTTCAAATACACATATTACTTATAATATTGTTAACAGTTCTTGTAACCGTTGCCTTGGCCGAAAGAAGTTTTTTCGAAATTAAAATTGATTAAATTTTCTTTAAGATCAACAATATCTCAAGAGAGATTGAATATATTAGCTATATTACCATTAGAAAAATAATTATTAAAACAAATTGATTATAAAACAGTATCTAATGACTTCGAATCTAAAATATTTAGAAAAATAGATTTTAAATAAAAGTATATATGATGAAAAAAATAAAATATTAAGGCCCCTCTCTTCAGTTTCGCTTTAGGCCCCCAATGTTATTGAGTCGGCCCTGCCTCCATTTACCATCTTAAAAATACAACCACAACAAATCCATTCTAAACAACTGTGTATGCACTATTTATGAATTGTATGCACATTCAGCTCTGCTGCTTTAAATATTCTTCCAATTATTTTATTAGCTCATAGATGTTACTTTCTGCATTTGCCTCATTTGAACTTATTTTACTATATTCTTTCCCATTTTTGATAGATGTGACAATTGAAGAATAGGTTGGATAGCTAAAATTATGGAGCATTATGCTAGTGTTATGCGAGAAGAAATTTACTACACGCAAGTTCTATATAATATATATTTAACAAATACGTCTCAATGCTTTTTGTGTCTTGTAGTCATAGATGGTTCTTCTATAAATTTGTCTTTCAATATTATATGATGTTAATTATTTTTGGCTAACTGAGATTCAAAGCAAGACTCCAAAAAACTCTTAATTAATCAATATTAATAATTGAATTAGGAATCTTTGTTCGAGCAGACTAGTAAACTCTTTTGACAAACATATTGTCACTGATTTGATCTTTCTTTGATTTTAATCTATTATATATTGATTTAATAGGTTTATCTGATCTTTGCATTATTGCATAGCTTGAACAATTGGAATATATAACATCCTTTAATTAGGATTTACTAAAGTTTCAAAAAATCAAATAGTTTTAAAATTTTTTTTAAAAAAAAGAACTATTAAGAGAAAATCAATATACTATTTGTTGTGTAGACAGAGTTACTATTATTACATGATTTTTATTTTATATTTTATCCTACATAAACTATTATATTGGTTTCCATATAAGTTATGCCAACTACATATTAGAGAACTTAATAATGTAACCAAATGCTTTATTAATACTAAAAAGTTGTATAAAAGATCAGGTACATCATTAGTTATGTAGTTATTAATAATATGTATTTTTACATTCTGAAGCAAAAGTATTATCAGAGATTATTATGAAATATTATGTCAAAATTAATTTTTATTATATAGTTAGAACTCATAAAAAAATTATTTTATTTTTGGTTCATCTGTCAAATCATGTGAATTTTACATTTTAGGTCCTTATCAATTAATTTTGAATGAATGAAACTCACATTACATTCAAATTTATAATTCGAAAGAACTAATAATAACAAATAACTTTTATTAAATTATTTTTGTCTTTTATGTTATTTTAAAAATTTGTATTAAACTATAAAATTTATTTATTTTTGGGTTCTGAATCCAAGAAAAATGTCATCAGATCCTTATCAATTAATTTTAAATGAATGAAATTCATATTACATTCAAATTTAAAAGAACTAATAATAGCAAATAGCTTTTCTTAAATTATTTTTGTCTTCTCTGTTATTTTAAAATTTGTATCAAACTGTAAAATATATTTATTTTTGGATTCTGAATCCAAGAAAAATGTCATAAGACAGGGTCTTTCAACATATTTTTTATTTTTTATTTATAAATATAGATTGCATTATAAATGAAATTTGATTGTATTTTTATTTTTCTGATTTGCTTTCCAAAGTCAAGAAGTATTTTAAAGCAAGTTGTTGAGTGCATTTGCATTTAATATCTTTACAATTCTCCTTCTATAAATATAAAGTTTTTCATATTGTATTCTCATATCTTGAGTTAGTACTTTCTCTTTAATATATACAGTTATTTTCTGTCATACTATTTTTCTTCTAATTTAGAAGAAAAATAATGATGGAAGCTCCAGGATCCAAAAGAAAGCGATTGTCAAATCGTTTTGTTTATCTTCCTAATCATGTGATTGATAGGATTTTTACCTTTTTACCTATTAAGGATGTTATTTCTTCTTCTGCCGTAGCTAGTCCATTTTTAAATTCATGGATGTATGCCCGCAATTTGCGTTTTGATAGAATCTTTAAGAGCAATTGTGGTAGGGATGATATCTCAATAATCAATAAAATCATAAGTGGTCATTTAGGAAAGGAAATTTACAGTTTTCATTTGTACATTCCTGCGCCAAATAGGTACTCACTTTTTCTTCAGGAGTGGATTCAAATTGTTGCATCAAAGGGCATAGAAGAGCTCGAGATAGATTTATGGTTTACACCTGATAATGAAGATACTTACTATATGCATTCGGATTTTATTGATATTGAAACTCTTCGAAGTGTAAAATTGTTCAATTGTGAGTTGCGTTTATCGCCAAACTTAAAAGGCTTACGATTTTTAAAATCGCTTAGTCTAACTAAGGCTCCAATCACACCTCATTTTATTCAAGAGTTATTTAGAAGTTGTGTGGTACTTGAGTCTTTGGCATTGACTTTTTGTTCTTCTCCTACTAATGTTACAATCAAAGGTTCGAATCAACTTAGAACTATTTTGATTAGAGGTTGTGGTAAAATTTGTTTGATCACTATTGATGATCCCAATATTCACACTTTCCATTATGAGGGTGAGATTGATAAAATCAAGTTGATTGGTCCGACAAGATTTGATGATGTGATATTCAATCTTGATACTACTACATGGCTTCAGCATATAAGCGGAATGGGTAATTTGATTGAAATCTTAAGAAACGTGCAAACTCTCTCGATTAACAACATTTTTCTTGAGGTAATGTAATGATTTATTTTTTTATTTTGAAATTTATTTTTATATATTGACAACGTAAATATTTTGTGTGTACACTTTATTTAGGGACTTTCTCCCAGATATATAGATTTTGAATACAAAGATATGGAGTTCTATCTTCCAAATCTAAAGGAGCTACAAATTGTGCGACATGGACTAACATATGTGAACCCATGGGACATCATTTTCTTTGTCAAGAATTGTCCCCAAATTGAAAGACTCTTTCTCGATGTAAGTATATTAGTTTGAATCTTTTTAATATTTTAATGTTTTTTTAGCTATTGTTAATTATTTGTGAAGTAATTAATAATTAATTAAAATTATGCAGTTTGGTGATTATGCAATGGAGGCAGGAAGATATTGGAATTTTGTGGCAAAGGACAAGTTTGAGAATTGCCAAATAGAGTTTTCAAAGCTAAAGCTCTTAAAGGTGAAAGGATACAAGAAACATGAGCTGGAAAGGAAATTGGTGAATTTCTTTTTGCTACGGGCAAAGATTTTGGAGTCTTTTATTATAGTTTCAAAGGATAAACATTTAAAAATTAAACCGAAGGATATTGTTACAGTCTCAAAGATAGTTTCTATTTCTACCTACTATCATCATAGGGACAAAAGCTCTGTATTTCCTAAACATACAATTTTTTGAATGCAGAATTCAAAAAAAAAAAATCCTAGGAAAAGAGTTGGAGAAGACATGTATTTTCTAAGCATTACAAAAGAATATTAGATTTTTATTTATTTCCTATTTTGTTCTTCAGTTATGATGCAATGTTGTTTTGGTTAGAGAATATAATATTTATTGCTGATTTTAAGTAGTATTTGTAATGTTGAATTTTAATTTGTTTTTTCTATTACAGTCAAACATAAATTTTGATCAGTATTTTAGAATTTACCTTATATTAATTCTCCTAATATATTTTACTATATTTTAGGACTTCTTGATTTTTAATATATATTTGTTTTTTATCATATATTTTAGAACTCCTTAATTATTAATTTTCCTAATACATCTTATCATATATTTTTGCTCTCTTTAGACTTTAATAATTAATTGTCCTAATCCCTCTTGCCATATATTTTTCATCTTACAATATATTTTAAGACTCCTTAATATTTAAAATCTATTTTCTCCTTACCATATATTTCAAGGATTCTTTAATTATTAGTTTTTTTAATATTTCTTACCATATATTTTAAGACTTTGATTTTAAATTTTATAAAAATAATTAAATAATAATTCGAGGAACATAGTAAATAATAATTTTTTATTGTAAAGTCTTTTAATAAGGGATAATTATAAATGGTTCAAACAACATTTTTAAGGACCTTCATGTTTTTAATGTAGTATAAATTAATCTATATAGATATAAATATTTACACTCTGAATGATAGAGTAAAGGAAAAATGAACTATTATATGAGCATAATTATACGATAGTAGTACTTGTACTAAATTATTAACAATTACATTAATGTGTACGTGTTTTGTATGTATATTTCACATCAATCAAAAAATATAAAATGAAAAAATATTAATAAGCCCTTTCATAAAAGAATATACCTAATAAAATATTTATATATCTTAGTCTTCATCATATATATATAAGACATCGAAACACTTGTCAGATTTGACATTGAGTCTCTTGAATCATATTGACAATTCATAAGCCGTAAATCAATATAAGTTGTGATGTAATGATGGAAGTCCCTCCATTCTTAATCATATATCTCGAATTCTTCAACTTCAATGCATTCAAATAATCTTTGTTCATCTAGAATTAATTTGCTTTTTAATTTGCAAATTGATTAAAGAAAAGAAATCATCTAAAAATTAATTTGCTTTCAAAACTTTGTTCATCAACTATGTTTTTTATATCATTATCGTCACCCATTTTCAAGATACCTACAAAATCAAATATTTGTTAAACCATTATAGTACGTAGTATATGGTTTCAAAAAGCATACTCAAGGTTTTCTACCGCATAAAAATTATATCTATATATTCTAATAGGGTTATACTATGCAAGAAGAAGATACATGTTACACGTAGGTTTTATAAAACAACTATAAGAGTGATAATAATATATGGTTTGATTATATCCTATATATATATCGTCCAAATACACCTATTCATAGATATTACATTATGATAACTAAAAGTGTTAATAATGAACAAGACATACCTAAATTACATCGACAAAAAAGTTACATATTAAAATACCTATAGTATTTAGATCTAATAGAGCAATAAATATTGAGGACTCGTATAATCGATTTATCTATTTAGATACCTGAGGTAGTTCATTGATAATTGTTAATTTTAATCGTGAATTCCTAAGGTGATAATTATGTTGAAATATTATTTTTAAGTTAAAGTGACAATTAAAGTGTGACGAAAGAAGTACTTCATTAAGCATATGACCAACATAATAAATGAAAATTTTATCCTTTTATTGACTGATTTTCCACATTATTTACTTTCACTTGTGAAAAATCCTTCCTAATTTGATTATTTGGATTCATATGAAATTTATTTTTTCTCAATAATAAATACAGTTTTTACTTTGCTTTTGAGGTAAACATGTCTATAATTAGCGACATGAAAAAACTTAATAATACATGCTAAAAAAAGTTAGTTATATATATATATGCTCAAGTAATTGTTTATTTTATAAAGAGATCAAAACCTAGTTAATAATAAGGGGAAGATTGACTATATTGTAAAAAGTCTTTATTGATTAATTCTTAATGAACAAAACTTAGCTTAGATGTTTCATGTTAATTTAAATATCAAAATTGAAAGAATTAATAATAACAAATAACTTTTATAGTAAATTGTATTTGACTCTGTTTTCAAGTCTTGCATTTAATTATATGATTTGATTTTATATTTGACTCCAAGTCCAAAATAAAGAAGTCATAATTTTCATAATCTATAGTAAATTGCTTGATAAATAAAATTTGACTTTTATTTTAATTTTAATTTAAGAATTAATAATAACAAATAACTTTTATAGTAAATTGTATTTGACTCTGTTTTTAAGTCTTGCATTTAATTAATGATTTGATTTTATATTTGACTCCAAGTCCAAAATAAAAAAGTCATAATTTTCATAATCTATAGTAAATTGCTTGATAAATAAAATTTGACTTTTATTTTAATTTTAATTTTTTGCTTTATACATATAAGAAGTACTTGAAAATTAAAATTACTTGTATCAGGTACAAATGTTATTATTGATACATAACCTCAATTATTTCAAATCTAAATCAGTATGAATTTGATTTTAACTTTCATGATAGAATGTAATTAGCACCTAGTTTATTGAGGTTTCTGTACTTTATAACTCTTTTTTTATTCACACAAACACAGCAGCTAATACTACTCGTCTACTACTCCCTCTGTCCCTAATTACTTGTCCATTTTGACAAACCAAGAAAGGACAATTTTTTTACTTATTATACCCTCAATTAATTACTTTAAAAAAGGTAGAACTTTTTGAAAATCTTAAGTTTTTAATTCGTCCACTCATAATTAATGAAGGTAAAATGATAAACTCACTATGTCAATAATTGCTTCTTAATAGGTGTGTCAATTCAAAAGTGAACAAGCAATTAGGGAGGGGGTACTAATAATAATAAAAAGCGCTTACTTTTTTGTCCAAAAACTTAGCGGAACATGCAATAAAAATATCTTCTTTTACATCGTATCACTTTTCCCATATTAAGAATAATACAATAACTTTCTGAGAAAATAGGAATTCTAACCTCGGAGATTGAATTTAGCTAGTTCCAAAGTATACATCTAGATCTAGTTTTTATAAGCACGAAAAGAATAGTTCAATTGATGAGTTTTGATGTGCATTAACGATCAGATTTTACTCCATTGATATTATTAAACGACACAGCAAATGATTGACTTTCGACAAAGGAAAAATGTCATCCAACCATATAAGAATTTCTTGTTTTGGACATGCCTGCTCTTCATCTTTAGCTATTTGTCGATTAAAATGTTGAATCCTTCCCGCAACACCTACATATACCACAACACCAAGACAATAAGCACAAAACGTGAGGACGTAACACAAAAAAAAAAAAAACAGAGGAAAAGACCGATCACACAGCAGATTTAGAGAGACCCTGAGAACATAATTATAGTGCATTAAATATTTCGAATATCCAATGAACTACAGAAACTGTCAGCAAGCATATTCATGGATGGTTTGTAGTCATTTGTGTACATGATTGATCATATAGCTTTTTTATTTGGAAATAGAGTTTGTTAAGTTGGTATTTAATAAAAACATCTCATTTCCTTTCCTTCTCTATGGAATTCAAAACATCGAGACATAGCTATTCATGTTCAACAATAAGAAAAGTTTAAGAACCTTTTGTATCTCTTCTTGGAACCACAAGGACAAAATGCATTCCTACTAATTTGCCCACTCTTAGCCATGTTTGATCGTGCAACATCCAGCGGGGATGAACCCATCAACTTTTGAACCTATATATCAGAAGAACCTAATATAAGTATGTCAACATCATATAACCATGGAAAAGGAAGCACCAACAGTAGAACATATTATATGTGTTCTTTTCTCATGCTCTATAGAGACTCTGCAGAATCCAAGTATTGGAAGAGGAGTATCTTAACTACTGCTTAATTTCCAGTACATCCCGCATGGACCAGAGAGAACAAAAACATACACACTTCACAATGATACAGATGCACCCAAATTACTGGCACTACAGCTGAAAATTTCTTTTTATATTATGTACATATAGCATATTGCATATCTGTACAATGCAACCAAAAATCTCACCCAGAAATTAAAGAATCAAACAACCAGAAAATAAAAAATGATACATAGAAGATTTAAAATATAAAACGGTAAAAAACAAAAATATTACTCCTTTTGTCACATTTTATGTGAAGAAGTTTGACTAGACAAGAAGTTATAAGTGAAGTACTATATGTGCCCTTTCTACCAACAATAAAACTAGAGACGGTAAGAGTTCCATGTGTCTTTTCATCTTTCTCTCTCCCTATAATAATGTCATATCTTATAAGAAATGGAGTCCCGATAAATCATGCCATTAAAGTTAAAATGATTTCAAGATTAAATAGTTTTCAAGCTTAGATAATGCACCAATCTTTTTGGAACATCCTAAAAAAGACCGTTCTTGAAGGAAGCTAAGAAAAAAAGTGAAGATGCCACAGAACAGCAATCTGAAATGCAATAAACAGTACCTCGGCCATGCTCTTTGGCAATGGCTTCCCTTCTTCCTTCATCTTCTCAAGTTTCATTTGTGCTTCTTTTGCCCAAGTAAACTTTGCCAACATATTCTCGACATCAACTATGGTGCACTTGCAATGTTTTGCTGCCTGTTGCTTTTGAATTGTTTGAAGATTCTATTAAAAAAGAACAAAAAAAGTTAATGAAAAAAAGGGCTTCAATAGGTTATCCAAGTCTATTCACATTAACAGTTTTCTTCCATCTCTCCTACACATGACTACTAGCTTACTAATATTGTCTTTCACATTATTTACTGATCTATTCTTTTTTTTTTAAATTGGTAACATTGGTATTGAAAGCACTAGGGCAGTGCGGAAGCCATATTTACATAGAACATATCACCACAAGTC